GCCTTGAAACACTATTTTAAAACACATTTGGATCTGGTAGAACTGACAAAGCACCCTCATTCCCTGTTTACCAAGGAGGAGGCATGTGAGCGTAGTGTCAACACATGGCACTGGCCCCAGATTTGGGGTTACAATATGCAGTACTGGACTCTGCTTCCATTAATGTTTTATAATGTTGACCATGCTATTCTCTTTGAATGTCAACTTGTTTACTGTGGAATAAGGATGATGATAGTTACCATGCTAGCTTCCAGTACCATCCGACGCTTGTTACCTACTAGGTACTGTTGCAAGAACACCATGTGCTCACTACTTCACTAGTTCCTCATGACCACTCTGCTGTAGCTATGTTGGGGCAATTGAAATAACTTAAAGATCCCGCAGTTAGTAAGGATGCAGGAGCGAGCCCCATACTTGGTCTAGATTTTGACCTCTATTCTTCTCTGTTAACCTCTAGCTTGTTCAGGGAATAGACGCAAAGCAGCTGAAGGCGGTTGCCATTGTTATTCTTATGGTCATTGTTGCTATAACATTTTTCATGCACAAGAGAGGGCAATAGGAAAATAGTTCTTGAGGGCTCCTTTTTGCTTATTTGTAGAATTATTAAATAAAGAGTAACTGCTCTATTTAATTTTGCTTGTTTCCCACTTATAATGAACTGTTTGACTTCATGCAGCCCAATATTTCCTAGGTCACATGGAATATTACATACTTTTCCAGCTAGGGAGCCAGGAAGAGTGGGACACTTGAAGAATTCTGAATAATAGTGGAACCTATACAGCTTGGGGAAAACCATGGGGAGTGCTTTACTCCATGCAATATGGAGGCCAGGTGAATTTCCCGTTTGTTTATACTACATTACTAGGGGGAATATCCGCAAACTCTGTGAATGCAGTCATTTTTAAATTTCCTTCTTCCATTTTTCACTTTACTGGTTATCCCCTACTCTCTATCCCCAAACAATCAGGGGTCATCCCTGATGACTATGAACACCATGCAAAGTGCGAAAGTCTACCTGAGGCACTGGTCTTCACGCAGCTCCACATATCATTCTCCACTGTTGCTGTTACAGACTGAAGTACAGAGAATGAATAAAACCACTTTGCAGAAAGGTAAGGAAATCCTTTCTTCTCCCAGTGAAGAATATATTATGTCTACCTGTGATTCCCTGGGCCCTCAGGCCACTTGTCACCTTAGTCAGCTTTTAGTGTGTCCTCAGCGACTGGGGCCTCCTACATATAGCCTGCTCCTGGAAAGCCAGACGCTCATGGAAGAAGCTTCACACACACTAATGAAGGAGCCTATGTGCTGGACCTAAGGCAGGTACTATTTAATCCTTACCTTGTGGATAAGGAAGTGAAGACAGTGAAAGGTTAAAGCCCTCGTCAGGGATAATGTCGGTGAGTGGCAGAACCAGGGCTTGAACTGAGGACGTGGCCCTGGAACTACAATTTGACTCACCTCAGCAGCCTTTGAATCTTCCTGTTTATTATAAACTCCCTATTCAAAGTCGGGAATCATTTTCAGGCTTTTAGTTTGAGCATTACCAGCCAACATCTACTTGGGCAAGTTGCTGAATACCTTTGGCCTCTTTCTTCACAGATAAAATTCAAGAACTGGACCAAGTTACCCTCTGAGAATTGCTGTGAATAGCGCTCTGTATAAATAAAATGCTGATTGTCCAGTAGCTAGGCAGGAAGTATAGGCGGGACAAGCAGAGAAGAGAATTCTGGGAACAGGAAGGCTGAACAGGGAGACACTGCCAGCCACCGCCATGAGAAGATGTTAAGATACTGGTAAGCCACGAGCCACGTGGCAACTTATAGGTTAATAGAAATGGATTGATTTAAGATATAAGAATAGTTAGCAAGAAGCCTGCCATGGCCATACAGTTTATAAGTAATATAAGTCTCTGTGTGTTTACTTGGTTGGGTTTGAGCGGCTGCAGGATTGGAGGGCAAGAGAGATTTGTCCTGACCATGGGCCAGGCAGGACCAGGAAAACTTCAGCTACAGAGATCCTATAACCTGAGGCTCTGAGGGGCACTCATCTGTCAAAAATTCTAGACAAGTTTACTGGCTAAACTTCTGGCAGATTTCTGTTTTTTTAGAATGTAAACAACGAAACCCTGTGATCTTCTAGTATTGAAGTCATGGGATATAGTGAGAATTAAATAACCCCCAAATTCTTTACATGGTCATGATCCCCTCAGTCACCAAAAATGAGGGAACCCTGATTCAAGAAACTGGTTGGCAACACTGTGGCCCATAATAAATATGGATTCATTGGTATAATGATCAGTATTATCTGGCGTGAGGCATAGGACCTAAAGCATGGAGCATAGACTTTGGAGACAAAGTCTATATTTACAATGGCATTTTCAGGTAGTGAATGTGTTTTGTGAACAAACATGTACACTCGGTATTTAGGAAGGGTATCCATTGCAGATCCTAGCCTGGTCGTAGACTAGGTCTTGTGGAAGTTGTCTCCAAACGCCTTATGTGGCAGACCAGCAATTACAGGTTGGTACAAATGTTAGGATGAACTTTCATTTAGCGTTTATTTACTATAAATAAATATGGAAAGGGAATTTTATACATTTCAGGATGCAGACAGCGATAGCCAGACATTATCACTGTGCATACCAGACTCCAGCCTGCTACCTTCCTTTATGTCAGGAGTACATCCCACTGAAGCACAGACTACACCTGTCTGATACACAGCTGCAGCGAGACGACGTGTGCTAACAAGTAGCCTAGCTTTTGCCAAGCTTGTTCTGCAGAATACCTTCCTGGGGATGGTGAGTGCACAAGGGTGAGATGGGAAAGAGCACCTACTCTGCTAAATCAAGGTGGGGTCAATCCAACCCACATGTGGTTTTATTTCCCTCCACCGCGGGTCAGCTCTATCATCAGCCTCCATCAATTTTAAAAATAAAAATGGGTGACAGTGCTCATTTTCACATAAAATATTTCTAGGTGTGCCTGGGATATGCCTTCAAATCTGTGTAAGTGCCTGGCAGGTAACACAGAAAAAAAAGGAGAGAGAAATGCAGGCCTTCCTGGCCTCCAAGCCATCAGCTTACTGTCTCTCTTTCTCCCAATTGCAAACAAATGGGCTCCCATTACCAGAAGGCTGCAAAGCATTGGACTTGACAGCGGGTGCATCTTGTGAGAAGATCTGGTTCTATGTCAGCATCTCCCCCACATTGGAATTCCAGTATCATTTTATTTTATTTTATTTTTCTCAAAGAGAAGAGCTTTGATAAATGGTGTCTGTCTAGCTGTGGTGATTTTTACATCCATAAATACCTTGCTTTTAACAGTTTCCTCCTGTGACTTTATCCCAAAGCTTGACAAAGTTTAAACCTATATGAGCTTTAGGTAATACAGTCTGTGATTTTCCTGGTTTGCTCAGCAAGGGAAGGAGTTGAGGCAGGAAAAATGTGACCAGTGGGGGAGGGGTGGAACTGTCTGTTATCCACAGAGATCATTTTTTAATTTGCAGAAAATTCCCCAAGTAAGTGCACTCATTAAACAAGCTTCATTTTTTTTTATTATTATGATCCTCAATCTGATTTCCTAAAGTGCATCCGGAGCACACTCAGGAATGATCTACAGAGTCTTCTCCTGTGTCCCTCTGCCACTGACAAAGCAGGAACCCATGTGGTGTTTTTCCAAGGCCAAGGCATATATTTCCTGACCTCTTCTTTCCTCTTTAAACTTTAAAACAACTTGAAGGTTGACTTTCAAACAAACGTCTCTATAACACTGCCCTCTCTGTGTGCTAGGCAAAGCTTCCAAAGACACTTGCACAATAGGCAGTCTTTTGGAAGAGAGATCAGACAGCGGGGCCCAGAAAACCAATCTTCTGAAATATCTCATGTGGCAAGGGATGAAGGGAATTTGACTCAAAGAGGACTAGGGGATAATAGTTCCGTACCTTGTACTTACACAACCCCAAGCTCCACAGAGTCGAGAGAGCTTTGCCAAGTGTTCTCAACCCCAGAGCTCATGATCCTCGAGTTTACAGCTAGGGATGATGGCATGGTAAGGGGATTGCAGGAGCCAAGCTGCCCTTATGTTCCCCAGTTTCCCACTGGTGCCTCATGATGCAAGGCAAATGGAGTGCTTTATATGCTAAATCTCTCTCTTACCTCCTGAAAATAATTGGTGGTTAAGGCAGCAGACTTTCTAGGAGAACTCACAGAAGTGTGGAAATGATAGCTAGATGGTGTCCATAGGGAGAAAGGTCCAGGAAACCTTCAGGACATTGATTTGATCCATTTTTAACCAGCTGCTATAATTGCTGTTACAGGAATGTGTCAGCTCTCTAGTTATTAAGTATAACTAGAGGGGCCCTTATACAGGAGAATCGAGTATTTTAAGGCTTACCTTGGAAAGAGAAAGGTCACAGATGGCCAGGCACAAATGACCCTGAAGCTTTGGAAAAGTCTATCCTTAGATTCTTAGGGAGTATCTAAGAGCATGCTAATAGCATGTTTGATCAATTAAAAAAAAAAACTCAAAACCTCTTTAGCATCTCTAGTAAAAAGAGAATTGTCTGGGTGGTTACCTTCCTCGATCTACATTGGATGACCTTTCTTTAGTTCCCATATACTAACTGCTCAAGTCTCGCCCATGGCTCTTATGCCCTGCATGGTGCTAAAGTGATTAGTTTGTAAAATGTTTTCCCATTGTACTTTTAGTGACTGGCCCAGGATCTATGACTGAGACTAATTTTTCTTCTAGAGTCTATAGCTGAGAAAGAATTAAAAAAATGTTCACTGAACTAAGCTGGATTTCCCTTTAGTCAGCAGAAAATTGCTACCCTCCAAGGGCAAGAGTTAATTGTGGGATACTTTTGGCTCAGACATTCTCAGGAACTCCAATTTTCTGAAGTCCACAAAAATTGCCTACTTCCTCTAAATAGGGACAACTTCTTATAGAGATATATAAACCTGCCCTCCTTGAGATCCCAAACTAATACCTGTTAACTTAATATTGCTAGGCACCACGCTGAGCACTTAAGGCTCATATCCTCACAACAGCCCTTCTGAGGCTAAAGAGGAAGAAACGGAGCTCTGAAAAGTTACACAAGCTCTCTGTAGCCAAGTTTTTGGAAAATTCATACTCACTGAATCTTAAGCCTAATTTATACAAGTCCAAAATCTCAAGGCTGGCATAAGAGCTTGAGGTAAGAAATGTACATCTAGATTGTTTATTAACTTAAACAGTTTTGAATTATTATTATTACTTAGTTGAATTGAACTGAATGGATGAGGAGGGAGGGTGAAAGAAATCAGAATATTGTACTTTTTATAATAAGTAGAAAAGAGCCAGCTAGGAATTTGGATAGTTAGGAGGCAAGTGCTTGAGAATAAGCCTCTGGAGGAGAGAGGGAGGAGGTACTAGCAAACTATTAAAAAATGGCACAGAAAAGGAGGAGGGACCTAGTTTGGCAAAGGAAAGTGTGTTTGTGTTTGTGTGTGCATTTGTGCAGGCAACATGCTCAGGAGGTGGTGATAATTTATTACATTAGCAGACACCGGCTCAGCACAAACTGGGGCAATGGCTGTTTGTGATGGCAGAGCAAAACTTCAGCGTGCCAAGGCAGTCTCCAGCATCTCCCAGATGTGCAAGCCTAGGCTGCATCTTTCTTGATGACTCAGTATTTCTCCTTAAGAATTTTTTTTTTTTTTTAGGGGAAAGGAGTTCTATGCTTAATGAGTCAGCATTGGGTTTTAAAGGATTCACTTAGGTCTATTTGAGCCCTCTTTTCACATGCTTCATTTCCTAAGGGTTTGGCTTTGCCCTGAGAAGTCTTGGCTCTGATGGATTTTTGACTCCATTCAGTGCAAAGCGTTCTCCAGGAGCTGCTTTCTGTTCTTGGTAACTGGAAGCATGGAATGAAGAATGAAGACCTTGTAACTTGTTTGTTAGCTTTACTGGGTTATGAGCTACAGGCAACTAGTGTTGATACTTTTCCCAGAGGTAATTCCTGTGCCTGCAAGGAGTGCCTGAAATAGGGAATGTAGCAGCTGGAGTGATCAATAGATCTATAATGATCATTGATAAAGGGAAGGACTGACCCCCCAACCTTTTAGTGACTGTTTTGGAATTATATACACCTTGTGCTAAATCTGGATCTACCACTTGGTAGTTATGTGTCTCTCTAAAGTAGTGGTTCTCAACATGTGGGTCATGACCCCTTTGGGGGTTGCCTATCAGATACCCTGCATATCAAATATTTACATTACAATATAACAGTAGCAAAATTACAGTTATGAAGTAACAATGAAATAATTTTATGGTTGGGGGTCACCACAACATGAGGAACTGTATTAAAGGGTCACAGCATTAGGAAAATTGAGTAACACTGCTCTAAAGACTTATTTAGCTATATATAAATGCAGGACAAGAATAGGATTATGAAAAATTTATGGGGAAATTACATAATATAATATATTAAGAGATTGGCACCATGCCTGGTGTGGTGGCTCAAATGATAGATGTCCCCATTGGCTCATGTATTAAACACTCAGTTTTTAGTTGGCGACAGTGTTTGGAGAAGTTATGGAACATTTAGGAGGTGTCACCTTGGTAGAGGAATTGCATCACTGGGGTGGGCCTTAAAGGTTTCCTGCCTCACCCCACTTCCTGTTCTCCCTTTCTCCTTCCTGTGTGTAGATACAGATATGATCAGACAGTTTACAGCTGCAGTTATGAACATTAGCTCTTTGGAACCATCAGCCAAAACAGGCTCTTTTAAGAAGATGCTTTTGGTCCTATTTCATCACAACAACCAAAGAGCAGCTAACACACCATGTCTGGTATATTAACTGTATCAAATAAATGTAAGCATTAGAAAACTGAATCTCATGCAAAGGTGGGTTCAGGGCACTGTATCACAGTGGGGTTTTTCTTGTTTTCCCAGTCTACACTCTTTGTTTCTCTTTTTCTTCTAGGTTCCTTATTCCCTTCCATACATATTGTGGTGACAACCAGCTAGGAATAGCACAATTTACATAAACCTCATGATTTTTGTTCTGACTTATCACAGGATTCTTGACTGTCAGGACAACATTGCTCATTCTCTGCTGTTATCTCTCTTGCCAAAGGGATGTCCACCGCCTTCCCTGTTGTGGGTCCTAATACATGAACATGTTTAGGGATTGTGGTGGTTGAATAAGGTGGTCCCCATAGGCTTATATATTTGAATGCTTAGTCAGGAGGGAGTGGAACTCTTTGATAGGATTAGAAGGATCAGGAGATATGGCCTTGTTGGAGGAAGTGTGTCACTGGTGGTGGGCTTGGAGGTTTCGAAAACCTACACCAGGCCCCACCTGAAGGTCAGGATGTAGCTCTCAGCTACTGCTCTGGTATCATGCATGTCACCGTTCTCCTACCATGATGACAATAGACCAACCCTCTCAAACCGTAAGCAAGCTCCCAATGAAATGCTTTCTTTTATAAGAGTTGCCTTGGTCATGGTGTCTCTTCACAGCAGTAGAACAATGACTAAGACAGGGATGGCAAGCTCTGTCTTCTTTGTCCCCATCTCCTCATCTCATTGAGGTACTTAAAACTCACTTTATCAGATTAAGTAAAAATTTCAAATGTAATATCCCAACAGGTTCCACCTTCTGAAGAACATGTGGATCCCGTGGAGACCAGTTATCCTGCTTCCTTGTCTAGTACTGCCTAAGCCAGATCCTTTCAGGTAAAAAGCTGGCTTAAGGCTAGATTTTATTCATAGCTTCTCTTAACTTTGCTCCCACTATTACTTGGTTAACAAATTTTAGGAAAAACTGCAATGAGTAAGTGTGGGAGGCCAGCTCTCACCTTTTTAAAGGGTTCCTAGGAGGACGAGGAAGAGGAGAAGGAGGAGGAGGAGAGAGGAACAAGAGATTTGTAGATAGAAAGAGAGTAGAGATGAGTCAGACAGAAACACAGAATAGCTTTGGGAGGACCTGGGTCAATACCCAACGGCCCCTTCTGTATCTTCAAAAGGGCTTTATATAACAATGCTGAGGGATGGGGTAAAAGACCTCCCGCTTACTAGATCAAAGCATACTGCACAGGCAAGTGCAGACCCTTCCAAACACCTGGTAACCATGCCCATGATCAAGTCATCCCCTTATGCAGCCCTGCTGGGTAAAACAAGCTCAGATCTCACTAGGAAACCTCTGTGGGCTCCCACTAGTAGGAAACAAATAGAAAGTTCTTAGGCCATAAGGCTTAGGGAATCTGGAAATTTCTTGTTTCTCTGTCTGCTGTAGAGGCCCTCTCTGTTGTCAAAATAATTAACTTTGTTTGACAGGTAAGGCAACTTAAACATATAGAAACTAAAGTAGGCAACCCAAGGTCATAAAAAAATAAGAGCCACCACATTTATTTGAGTTAAAAGCCCCATCTTGTCTTCTTATTTTAAGCAATCTTCATTTTTCTAATGGGGGAATATTTAGCATTATGAAGTCTCCTCTTGGTGTTTGTCTTAGTCAATGTTCTACTGCCATGAAGAGACACAATGACCAAGGCAATTTTTATAAAAGAAAACATTTAATTGGGAGCTTGCTAACAGTTTCAGTGCTAATATATTATCATCATAGTGGGGAGCATGGTGGCATGTAGGCAGGCATGGCCCTGGAGCTGAGAGCTTTACATCTTGATCCATAGGCAGGGAGCCAGCCAGAGACACTGGGCCTGGTGTGGACTTTTAAAACCTCAAAACTTAAAAAAAAAAAAACAAACAAACCCTCAAAACCTAACCCCAATGACACCCTTCCTTCCACAAGGCCACAGCTACTTCAATAAGGCCACAGCTCCCAATCCTTCCAATCTTTTCAAACAGTTCCACTCCCTGGCGACTAAGCATTCAAATATATGAGCCTATGAGGGCCATTCTCATTCAAACTACCGAAGTGTTCAGCTCATCCTGAATGTTTCTTCATTCTTGGCATGGATCTTTCTATTAGGAAAAAATGGTTTTCAATAAAAGGAAACAAAAAGACTGAGATGATAATGAGTTCCTTCTCCCAGAGACACATGTGCTCATAATGCAAATCATGGCTTCTGTATGTATTTATACCATCACCCAGAGAAGAGTAATTATCAGGCTCTACACCTGGCAGAGGAAATGTCCTGGCTTTTTTTAATCAAATGGCTAGATTTCTCTAGTGGCCAAAAAAAAAAAAAAAAAAAAAATGACTTATATGCACTCATGGATAGTAGTGATAGCACATGTTACAGAGAGTGGACTACCTTCACCTACCTGTTCTAAATGTAGTCTGTGACCCTTGTATGTTTTGCAGGCCTAAGGACAATAATTACCCAAGAATAGTACTGGATACTGGAAGTCAATGAACATGAGTGTGCCTGGGAGTTTTTTCCCTCTCCATTCTGTGTTCTTAAACATGTCATTGGAGCTGTGACTTTGTCTCATCTTCTGACAGCTTGTTCTCTTAGTTTGAGGGATGGCAAACTCTAAAAAGCTCTTTATCTCAAACTGTACATGAAGTTTTCTGCTTAAAACTTCCAGGGAAATCTTTGTGTGCTCTCAGGTATCCATAATAATTATTTCAAAGCTCTGGACAAATCTTTGACTGCCATTAACTCCAAGACTTTAGAGACAGAGTATCAGGAAAGGCAAAAAAATTAAAACAGGAAATCCTTACTCTGAGAGGTGCCACTTTAGTTTTGTTAACTGCCTGTAAGCTGTAAGATTTCTGACCTGTAAAACTCCTAACATTTCATCACTGAGTCCCTAGGAACATGCTACCTGGTGGTGGCATTTCCATCCTCAGGGTGCCTGTGAACAATGGGATAGATGACTGATATATGTATGCTAGCTCTTGGTGCAGCCAAGAATGTAGGGGCTGTTTAATTGAAATCTACCTTGGGAAGAACAGTTTGTAAGATGTCAGGGGTTAAAATATGTGGAGCTGAGGTATATCTCAATAGTGCAGAGCATGCACGGTATGATTGTGGCCCTAGATAGAATTCAAGCACCAAAGCAAAACAAAACAAAAATTCAAACAAATGAACAAGTGGCCATATCCAAAAGAAAAAGCCTTGACCTTCTCTAAGACCTGGTATTCCCAGCTTCAGAGAACAAAAAGGGTTTTGCCTATGACTGTAACCACAGTACAATGCCTGGCTCAGGAAAGAGTCAGTAAATACTTATTCAATGGAAAC